ATAGCTGAATAATCTAGAAGGCATACTTATAAGACAGGGTAATGTTCATGTGTCAGTCACAGAGTTACATGTTATTTAGTGTTCTTTTGACTTATCTTGTCAAGCTAACTTTCAATAGGACTGTCCGACTGCTCCTGAGTTTAGCCAGGGGCAAATCTCCAAAAGGAAAGACTTGAAATAGTTTGGGAGTACAAGCCTATTTCAAGGTTTTTAATTTCTTCATTTTACTTGCCTGAGTATTGCAATCCTGTAGTTACTTTTAACAAAATAAACTACATTTTTGTACTAACCCTTTTATCTTTAGTAATAAGCATGACCTTTAACTTAGCTGTCATATACAGTCCAGCCTGATACCACAAGCAGAGCAAATATTTACCCTCAACGGTCTTGAGTCCTTTGTGATGTGTACCATCCAGTCAAATGCTACAACTCTATAAAGCTGAGGAGCAAGCTTTAATATTATGCTGCAAAGACTGCTTTGCAGTTTGGTGAGATGATGGCTGTACTTGTGGGCATCAGTTTCCTTTAATAGGAACCAGGACTTCATTGTCATGGGATTCCAAACATAGCAACTCTCTGTATAGGATAAGAAAATGGATTACATAACCTGGTGGAGATCAGATGAATGTGTAGGTAAAAAGAAAGTAGAACCAGGTGGTTTATGGGCCTGGGAGAGAAGCAGAGCTTCTTATCTTCACAGAACCACAAAGTGGTTGAGGCTGGAAGGGTCCACTGAAGGTCATCTAGTCCAACCTCACTTTTCAAGCAGGGTCACCTGGGCCACATTACTCAGGATTGTGTTCAGATGGTTCATGAATATCTCCAGGGAAGAAGACTCCACAACTTCTCTGGGCAACCCATTCCAATGCTCGGTCACCCTCACAGTAAAGTTCTTCCTCATGTTTAGGTAGAACTTCCTGTGTTTCAGTTTGTGCCTATTGCCTCTCATCTTATTGCCTGGCATCACCAGGAAGGGTCTGGCCCCATCCTCTAGACACCCTTCCTTCAGACTGATCAAATCCTTCCTGAGCTTTCTCTTCTCTCGGCTGAACTGGACCAGCTCCCTCAGCCTTTCCTCATATCAGAGATACTTCAGACCCTCTACTCTTTCTAGTAGCCCTTTGCTGGACTTGCTCCAGGATCTCTATGCCTCTCTTGTACTGGGGCGTCCAGAGCTGTGCACAGTATTCCAGGTGAGGCCTCACCAATTCTGAGTAGAGGGAGGGTCACCTCCCTCAAACTACCGGCAGTGATCTTCTTAATGCACCCCAGGATACCATTGGCCTTCCTGGTTGCAGGGGGCACATTGCTGGCTCATGGACAGCTTGTTGTCCACTATTACCCACAGGTCCTCTCAGCAGAGCTACTTTCCAGCAGGTCAGCCCCCAGCCTGTACTGGAACATGGGGCTATTCCTCCCCAGGTGTAGGACCCTGCACTTGCCTTTGTTGAATTTCAAAAGGTTCCTTTCATCTTTTCAACCTGTTTAAATCCTTCTGAATACAGCAAAGCACTGCAGGCTATCAGCCACTCACTCAGTTTTGTATCATTGGCAAACTTGTTGAGGAGTCACGCTATACCTTCATCCAAGTCATTGATGAGTTGAACAAGACTGGCTCTGGTATTGACCCTTGGGGGACACCGCTAGTTAGAGGTTTCCACCTACGCTCTGTACCACTGACTACAACCTGCTATTAGTTTGGATACTAGGAAAAATTTCTTCACCAAGAGGATGATCAGGCATCGGAACAGGCTGCCCAGGGAAGTGGTAGAATCACTGTCTCTGAAAAGGTTCGAAAAAACCATATAGACAAGGCCCTTAGTGACATGGTTTAGTGGTGGACTTGGCAGTCCTGAGGTAACAGTTGGGCTTAATGATCTTAAAGGTCTTTTCCAACCTAGTTGATTTTATGATTCTATGATTCAGCCAGTTCTCAATCAACCTTACCATCCACTCACCCAGCCCCCACTTCCTGAGCTTGTCTAGGTTGTCTAGGAGGATGTCATTTCCACCCAATATGGGCCATGACTCAAAGGAACTGAGTCATAGTAATAATGAATGCAGCTATTCACAGTCTCATTTTCTATGGATTAGCAGTTCCATTGCGAAGATTTTAACACCAAGCAGTGTTCTCCCCAGAAATTAAGCCCTCAGTTGAGTTTCTGCAGCTGGGCCTCTAATGCCCTCCAACCATCTGAAAAGCTCCACAGAGTGACAGAGGACTTATTAGACATGAAGACCAAATGTGGTTTTTCCAGATCAGTGCTGCGTGTGGGTAACACCAAGGTGGCAGAAGGAAAGCCAATATCTGCCCATGCTCTAAATGTCCTTTGGTAAAGCAGAAGAGTTAGTTCCCAGGAGAAGCATGTGGGGCTTTCAAAATTTCAGTCCCCTATAAGAGGGAAAAATCAGTGGTGGAGCTTTCAGGAAAGAGGAAACTTCAGTGGGCCCAAGCTTCAGAGTGGCAGGATGGGATAAAGGGATGTAAGCAATGACATTCAGCTAGAAAAATGATGTTTCATTGTGATTTCGGGATCTGGGCTTCATGGTCTGAGGCTAGCCACTTCACTCCTTTAGGTTTTCACCCCTCAGCTGCAGCCTCCTCTTTTCAGGGATAAACCACAGATTTTTTTTTTTTTTTTTTTTTTTCTGAGACCTAAATGTCAATATAATGCATTGCTATAAGAATAAATATTTACTTAAAAAGCACACAGCTTGAAAGATCTGCAGACCCTTGGTATTTGAATTTTTCTCCTAGAATGGTGGTGTTAATGCAGAGACCACTGTGGTTTCATGAAAGAGGAGGGATGCCATAATCCGTAACATTTCTTTCCTGCAAATGTCTTTGTGGAGGATTGGAAACTGTAGAAGTAGCCACTGGATGGCAATGTTTCACACACAATTTCAGTCTCAACAGTTTAGTAAGACTTAAGAGTGCAGGTGCTCATCTAATTAAAACTTTCATCCAAATCCTAGTCTAACACTTATTTCAATTCCATGTTTATATTGCTGACAAAAATTGAACTGACAGTTGTGTTATGGAGAGACTATTGGCTCTGCATAGCTAAGATCAAAACTTGTTTTCCATTATAAACTCAATCTTGACCTCACCTGTGGAATTCTCAGTAAAGACCATTTCTCTTTCACACATTGGGCCCACAATGAGTAGCAAAAGAGAGATGTTTTGTATACATTTCAAATAAGTTAGGCAAAGTATTAATTTCTTTCAGGTCTATGGACACCTGGGTATTAATATGTTGTAAGCTTTTTTGCCACACTTAGCAGTATCCCCTCTGTGAAACTTCCTATGAAATTCAAGACCCCAAGGACATCATGTGCTGGGCTCAAAGGTTCACTGGGTAAAATTGGGAAGTTATTCCAGCTGAATTCACCCTTCCTTCCTTATGTTTTGCTGCAGTGCAAATTCACCTAACATTTCTGAACATTTTCAGAAAATGAAAGCCTAGTGACAAGTAACACAGTGACAGGTAAGGTATTCTCAGGAAGCAATTTTTTACACTCATCTGTCACTATTCATGCTGGGAGCACTCACACCTGGATTCAGCTAGAAAACAAGGACAGCGCAAATCAAGTGACTTGGCTGAGAAATTACAGCTGACCAACATGACTCAAAAAGAAAATGCTGAAAATTTAGAGAACTAAGGTGCATTTCTATCTACCTTTTTCCTCTTTTATAAAGAAAAATGTGCCTCTTTGGGGGGCAATATGAAATAAAGTTGAAGAATCCTCTTTGAAGAATTTATTGTGAAAGAGCAAAACACTGAAAATCACTGATGATATTATTTACTCTGCTTCACATACCATGTTACAAAAGCCTCCTTTCTCTCTTTACACCTGCTTTTGTTAGTCTATTTCTGACCAGCACATACCTGACAGGTATGCCACATGTCAGGCAAGAAAACAGAAAATTACTGTTGAAAAGAAATTATTCGCAGATCTTTGTTTCTTGTTTCAGTAGTAATTGTGGGAATCATGTTCACAGCACTTTCCTTCCTGCCTGGGCCAATTTAATGAGGTGTTTACTGGGTTTTAGGAAACCAGCTGCTGTGGAGGAGGTCTTTTGAGATATTTCTTGATGCAGTCATCCAGGAATGGATACACTTTTTACTCTGCCACTGGTTTTGAGCAGCAAGCTTTGCATACCTGCTGTCAGAGAATTTGGAATTGCTCTATATGGGAAAAATCCAATCTTATTCCTATATTGGCACAGTCTTTGAATCCTCTGCTTTACTTCTAAGGATCATGGAGTATGCTCCTAGCAGATTCTGTGTAACAGATAAAAAGGTATACGAAGAGGAGGTCTGAAAGCCTGATATTGCTGTGGAAGAGAGCTAAGGTTAGAACTAAGCTCTGACGATCATTTCCACTTTCAAGCATTCTCAGTATAGGCTTACAATGTGTTCCCTAACTTTGTAATGGCTCTCTTAAAGAATTAAAGTGCTCTTATATTTTACTTCTCTGATACTGACAGGCACTTTGACACTGTACACAAGCTTGTGCCTGGGAAGTACACCACTTCTTTGCTGCTGTGTGGAGCAAAATTCAGAAGGTGAATCTGGATTTGATCAAGCCATTTCTAACTTGGTACTTCCACCCTTTTTGATCATGAATGATGACATTCCACAAAGGTACATCAACTGTTATAACACAAAACTGAGGTGCAGCCAGGCAATAAGGCAGAAAATAAATTAGACTTACATTGCTTAGGCATTGCTGAGAAAATGATGTAACCTAGTCCTAGCAGTATCATAGTGATACCATTTGCGTCACTGAAAATCATTAATAAGGTCACCATTTCTCTAAGGAGCTATTGCTTCAGGTGTTACTAACCTGAGTGTGAATATTTGTTTTGACAGGACTTTCATCAGTTTGCACAGATTCAAGTCAATTATTTAATAACGGATATCTTTTAAAAATATTTATGAGTTTTTGTTCAGATTGTTAAAACCCTGAACACATTGCCCAAATATGTTTTACAGGGTATATCATAAATGAGTTTATGTAAACAAGCATCTGTTGATGGCGTAGGAGCTCAGGTTCTTGGCTGATACAGAAAGGGTAAGTCTCAACAGCACTTAACAGCCGTTTGCATAACCTGCTCTAAATACCCAGGGCCTGACTTTTTTTAGTGTATGATTTTATTGAAATGAGTGAGTTCAAGCCATAGGCCTAATATATAGCTGCATGTATGCATGCAGATCTGGCCCCAGGAATTCACATTAAACATTCTGCATGTGTGGAACAGGCCAATAGTTATCACCTAGTAACACTTTAGTCTAAATCCCCAGCCCAAAATCAGATAGGACCTTTTTGGAAGGGACAAGGGAATACTCTGTGCTGCTGAAATAATAAATGATTTAACTGCCTTTTTCCTTTTACAAAAACATCAAAGTTTTCCTCTCTGGGTCAAAATGTAATATTTTATTTTGGGATCTTAAATTGGGACAGACTGTATATTGACACATGTGGGTACAAATCACAGTAAGAGTTGTCCTGGTTTATCCCTTCAAGTGTTGAAATTCCTGAATTAACTATGCATATGCTTGAAGCTAATCATGCAGATTTAAGTCTTTGGCATCAAGTTTGTGTCAACACTGGAGATCCTTCAGGATATTGTGGTGGGGTGGAGTCAGATTAAGCAGACTTCCAAAATACAGTACCTTCAATTTTGCATTTTAGCAAGCCTCTTACTGAAGTCATTAGGACTTTTCCTGAATAAAGAGTGCAAGTTTTCCCCCACTGTTTGTGTAAACTAGTAATTTTCTCCTGTCCTCAAATGCATTTCTAAAATACTCTCCCTGCAGAAACACATAATCAAATTTCAGCAAGAAAATGAAATTAAGGAAATAGAGAAGAATGAAGAACAATACTTCTACAAGTAAAACTTGGGGGTGACTTAAGGACAGAATGAAGGAGGGCACTTCAAGTAACATGTCTGGGAAACATTTCTACTCAAGAGAAGCTTCTGCATATGAGAATATTTATGATGGAATGGAATTAAAAAATTTAAAACAGTCTTGGGAAATTGATGTCCCAGTGTAAATATTGTAAGAGGCAGTAGTGAGAGGTTTTTAGAGGGAAACCTTCTGTAGTACATCGTTGCCAAACACAGAAGTGGTCCAGATACACGGTGAAACAATACGTAAAATGAGACTGCAATTTTTCAATGTGGTGAATTTATTGTTCTATGAGGCCAATTAGATGTGAGAGAAATAGATTGATTTGATAATGCAGATAAATCATCATATAAATTGTCACTATTAACATTTTTTGCAAATATTAATGACATCAAAGAGACTTGAGGGATTGCATTCATTTCCTATTGAATACGACAATATCCTAATACTTTCTCTACATCAGTTTTGTTAGTTTTGAGTGTACTGACATCTGTTTAGGGATAATATTTGTCAAATCAGGGAACTTATTAAATAATGGGAAAGGGAGAAGGAAGAACAAGACTGCATGGGAGGACATGTAAGACCTAAGATACTGTTTAGTGCTGTGTGCTTGTAGAGCTGGTTGTATAGGATTGCCAGGATGGAGACTCAACTCGTCCAGGACCTGACAGCTACTCCATGCCTGAAGCCTTGAGGGAGGCTTCAAGAAGTGTGACAATCAGCAAACAATTGACCTTTTAGACAAATGTCTTCTTTTGCTTCATCAGTTGTTGGCTTGTCAGCTCTGCACACAAATTGAGATTAGAAGACAGCTATCCTCTTTAATGCAGGACTGGTGTTTTACCTCCAAGTTGCTTTAGAAAAATAGTGCTTCTGTCCTTAAAGTGTGACATCTCTGGGTGCCAGGGATGTTGACACCAGCATTTTCTACAAAGATCTTTTAATGGAAGATCTCACTGAAGTGTCACTAGTGAATACCAGCCCAGCTCTCTTGCTTCGAGGCTGAGCAAGGGCTGGAAGATGTCAGCAGGAAGGTCATTCAAAGCTGGGAAGCAGTGGCTCCTCAACTGGTCCCCCTGGCCTGCCCCACCTTCATCCCATGTGTGATGCCACCTATCACAAGGCGATGTGCTCTGTCCACCACTCAGTGTCAAACTGATGCAGACAGGCAAGTGTTTCTGCAGCTTTTCTTCTGTAACAGAAAGGGAGGCTGTAGGCAATGAGGGCACGTCAGAAATACCTGCCTTGTGACAGCTGTGAGAGGAACAAGAAGACCACCTTGCAAGGAGATGGAGAGGTCAAACCTCTTTGTGAACAGGGTAGCAAAAGAGATGGAATGTGAAAGCTGAGGTCAGAGGAAAATTTCCCATGAGGCTAGTCCTTCTGCAGCAAGAACAGGAGGCAGAGGGAGCCAGAAGCTTGAAAGTGTTCACAAGAAAGCTGTCTTTTTGTTTTGTACCCACTAAATGTGGGAAATAGAAAATATTTTATGCCTTGACAGAAGGTTTTTCCCCATAGGAAATTAAAAAAGAGAAGGATTCCTGAGAAAACTTTTAAGATGGAGAGGATGTTTTCAGGTTTTGTAAGCCAAAGAACAATGTTTTGAAGGCTGAAAGGGAGTATTTTCAGATTTGGTTATTTTGTCAGCAGCAACAGTGTGTTTTACTAGAAAATAAAAGCCTTCACAGTTATTTTATGCACCTTTATTTCCCAGCAAAATGCTTTCATCCATTTCTTTTCCCATCCTTGCAACAGCTCCATTAAACTCCGCTTTATTTGCCATTTCTTGCTTTCATTATTTTGGTCCACACAATTTTGCGAAATGGACCTACAGAATTCTTTTTTTTGGCAGAGAACTTCTGTCAGGTTTATAAAGAGAATGTGGCTCTAAAGTGTCAGAGAATCAAACACTAAATTGTGTGTCTCCTCTCTCACTGCTGCTGTCACAGATTTTGGATTCTCATCCATTTTTCAGAGTAGACAAGATTTCTGATTGCTATCTGATTTTGCTATGGCATATCTCCATCAGTGGTATAATCTCGAACTGTGATACCACTTAGCAGTTCATATTTTCTAAAAACAATCCCTTAAATTTTATTTCAATAGCGAGCTTCTCGTAAACACCCAGTCAAATTGTACCGTTTTTTAGCTTTGTTTGATAACAAAGTCCTTTAGCTGTAAATATACAAAGACAGACTAATTTCCACCTTTTAAAGAGAAGACTGTATACCTGTTTTACTGATATATGAGAAAGACTTGAAGAAGGTAACCATTGCAGAGACTGATTCGAAATCCTCAGCAACTTTCAAAGTAAGTAGGAGGTTTAAAATCACCAGCTTCAGAATTTTCAGAATCTAAAAATTTGTTGTGAAAGTGAAAAACATCTTTCAGTCTGAAGCTACAGGGAACAGCGTCTGTTACATTATGACTTATGAATGATGATAAGTAAAGAAAGAGGAAGCAAGGAGTTTCATATATTTAAGAGGGCTTTATTTTGGATCTGAGGAACTACTTCGCATATGAAAGAAGGGAAAATTACTATATAATGTCCTAGAAATGTGTTTGCTATAACATTTTACATAACTAACACCTAGTTATTTTCATAACAGAATAGTCAGTTTGTTGTTTTTAGTTTTCATTGTTTTTTTTTCTTAAACCAAAGACGATACACTCTTTGGAGAACCTACTGTTAGACATACTCAGTGTAGAATATCACAGTCTTGTTTTGGATGCTTAAGTGGTAACAGAATTTGAACTGATGCTTGGGAGAGGCAGAGGATAGTGCTCCAGTGGTTCCTGAAAGCTCCATGAGCGGGAATCTTGATCTTTTGATTATATTTTTCTTTTCTTTGAGGAGCCAGATGCCTGTTTTGCTGCATAAATAAACAAAATGCCTTTACTGATGAGGACAGTGAGAGGAAAAAATGCATGTTGACACTGAAACGCTAGAATGCATTTTCTTCTGCATTACTGGCATTAGCCTGTCTGTGGAGTGATCTGAGGCAAAGCATTGAGAGCTTCTATTGATTAGTCCTACTCTGTGTAAGGAATTTGCATCTTGGTTCTTGATAGCAATTTGTACAGCGTTATGCTGATGATGGGTTTGCCAACAGGTCTGTTGAAGCCACTGCAGTCTGCCTGAATAACTCTCTAAGGCAGCTCTGGTAATTGTATTTGTAGAGATATGGGATTGTTAGGGAAATATAATTTGAAAATGTAATTTAAAAATGAGATAATTCTAAGCAGGAAAAGGACAATCTTGTTCATTGAGTCCACACCACTACTACATCTTGCGTTTTCTGTATTTCTGATTTTTTCATTCAAACTACACTGTTTATTGCCACCATTACTTTTAGTATTTGCTTAATTTGTACGCTGGAAAATGAGAAGGGGGATCAGTGAGTGTCTTATTGCTCCACTAAAATATTGCCTTTGTATCAGCTTGTCTGGAGTTTGTTGGGTCTGGGGAAGGCTGATCATCACACATTTGCACTTAGCCGTTCTGGAAGAGCCTCACAGGAGAACGAAATGTTTTTAAGGTATTTTGCAAGAGAAAATTAACAGATCACTGTGACTACAATCACAGCCAAGGTTCTCAAAAAACAGTTCACTTCTGAGACCAGCATTGGTCCATGATAGCTTTGCAAGACAACCCTTTGATGTTTGTAATTAAAAGCTGTCTTTTCCAGAAAAAGGTTGAAGTGATATTCACCCACCAACACCAGAGAGAAGATAGATGAAAACTACTTATACATAGCACCTTTTCCTTTCACCAACTTTTGTTTTCATTCAAAACTACCAACTGAAATACAGCCATACACTCTGGAGCCTGCTGGATTGCTTTGCCAAGGGACACTCTTGTTTGCATAATGGGACCAGCTGGTCATGGCAAGTTATGTGGTGCCGGCAGCTGCCTCTTTTCAAACAGCTTTAGTGGCTCCTAGCCCCTGCCAACTGCAAGGTTGACACTCCTTTGGGAGCTCAGTCTTTATTAAGCAACATGGAGAAACCCTGTTGTTTTAGAAATTTGAAGGAAATTAGAAGGGTGATTGATTACTTTGTGGCTAGCTCTACCAGCATTTCTGTTAATCCACAGAAAGACTGATGAACAAAAAGGAGTAAGTGGGGTCTACTTTTCATATATTAGAATTTTCTTCCCAA